TTTTTCTTTCATTCCTCCCTCTCCCCTTCATTCCTTTTCGTTCTTTTTATACATAAAAAAAGGGAAAAAAAATAGAGAAAAAAAGAGAGAAAAGAAGAGAAAGAAATATATATATAAAAAAAAAAATTCTTATTTTATATAAAAAAAAAAAAAGAGCTCCAGAAAGTAATTAAAAAAAAAAAAAAAAAAAATTTAATTTTTTTTGAGAGAAAAAAATTCCCCCTCTTTTTTTTTTTTAATAATGAACAAAGTTTTTTTTTTTTTTAAATTAAATACTTTATTATTAATTAATAACAAACATTAAACGAAAATACATTTTATTATTATTATTATTTTTTTTATATTAATTAAATAATTATTTTAATACGTATGCGTTTAATTATTTATTTTTTCCAAAAAAAAAAAAAAAATTACCGTAATATTAAAAATTATGGGAATACGATTAAAACGCGTACGAATAATAAAAATTTAATAAAGGAAACAAGGCGTGTAACAATAACAATAACAACAACAACAACAACAAACAAATGAAAAAAAAACATTTTTTACGTAATAATAATAATAATAGTTTTTAATAAAGGTATAAAATAAAATCTCACAAAAATAATATTAGATTTAGTTTTTACATTTAATTAAATTCTATTATAATGAAACATGAAGAGAGAGAGAGACAAACTAATAAGGATGGATGAACTAAATTAAAATTAATCACGTTAAAAATTCTAATACTATTAATTAATTATTTATTTATTTATTAATATTAAAAAAATAGAAAGGGTAATAACAATAAGCATTTAAACAAAAAAAAAACTTTTTCCTTCGTATTTTTTTTAATATAATTGAATTTTACGTTATTGTTCCATAGTTTTATTCTTTTTTAATAATACGATCGAACAAACAAAGAAAAAAAAAGAGGAGGAAGGGAGGGAGGAGAAAAAAGGAAATAATAATAATAATTATCATTAATAATTTTTTATTACCTGCAATAAATTAAAATTAAACGTGTTTTTTTTTTTAAATTTAATTAAAGCGTTTTTAAACGATGATTTAAAAAATGCATTTTTTTGTTTTTTTTGTTTTTAGTTTTTATTATTGAACATAAAATATTTAAAGTGCATTATTATTATTATTATTATTATTATTATTATTTACGTCAAATTAATAATAATAAAATAAAAAGGGGTTGTTGAAAAAAGATATATTTAAAAAACTTCTCCGAGGGGTTTGATTGTCAATTCGTGTATTTGAACGTGTGGAGGAGTTGCTAAAACGTATAAAACGCTGTCGGCAATATCCTTTGGCTTAAGTATTGCGGTGGTCATTGATTTTTTATTAACATCATCGTTTAATGCTTCTAAAGCTCCTGGAGTTAAACAAGAATCTCTTATATCCGTTTCAACCATTCCGGGGCTGATGCTCTGGAATTTATTAAAAAAAAAAAAACCAATAATAATAATAATTATCGTCAATTTTTTTTAAGCGAGAAAACTCGCTAGAATCACGTCGGTAATTTTTTTTTTATTTAGTTAATACACAAAAATTGACTCTCGTTTTTTTTTTTTTTTTAAATCCAATTCTCTTTACGATATATAAAAAAATATTTATTATTATTATTATTATTACTATTTTTTTACAAGGAGATTTATGTGTTAGAAAAATGGCTTTTGCAATAAAATGTTTGCGAAATAATAATAAATTCGTTACGTTTTTTTTTTTTTTTTTTAAAACCGATTTGAAAAACATTTGTAAAACTTTCGTGTCGATACATAACAACTGTTTTTATTTATTTTTTTTCTAATAATAAAATAGTAATTTATTTATTTATTTTTTTTCCCTTCGTTTTTTTCTACTTAAAACAAAACAAAACAAATTCTTAATATTCTATCCTTGTTGTTATTATTATTATTAAAAAAAAAGAAAAAAATTATTAACTCTAAGAAAAAAATAACATTACATAAAATTATACACGTGTATAATATATAAATATATATATTTTGTTTTAAAAGTTTAAAACGTAAAATATAAAAAAAAAAATTTATTTTAAAAGATAAAAAAAAAAATATGTAAAGAAGTAAAAAGATGAAGTAAAATATGAAAAAAATGATTGTGAACAAGATGTCAAGTGAAAAAGTCAACTGGAAAAGCTTACTAGTCGTTCTTTAAGCTCTTCTTAAAAATAATAATAATAATAATAATAATAATAATAATAATAATAATAATAATAATAATAACCAAAGAAGCAGACAAAAGGCTGAAATACAGAAATTTGGAAATTGAAATAACCAGGATGTGGGGAACAAAAACTGAAACGATTCCGGTCATCGTGGGAGCATTGGGAGCCATGCCAAATTCAATAAAAGGAAATTTAAAGAAGATTATGAAGAACCTAAAAGAAGAAACCATCCAGGAAATCGCACTATGTGGGACGGCCCACATTCTTCGGAAAATATTATAAATAGCACCACCGATATTCGAGTATTTGTCCCTAGATCGGGTAGAGACCTGGATAAATGCTTAAAACCCCGACAAATAAGAGCCTTGTCGTGTTTAAGAGTGACCATAATAATAAAAGGAAAAAAGTATAAAAAATTCCTTAAAAAAAAAAAAAATTAATCCCTCCACACAAAAACTTTTCTTTTTTTTTTTTTTTGATTCTTTTTTTCATAAAAAAAAAAAAAAACGAAATTCAATTTCGCGACATCATTTTAATTCTATTATTAATATTTTTATTAATAATAACAAAACTTATTAAAACCATTTATCAAACGATTAATTTTATTGAATTTTCTTAATTAAAAAATATCTCACTCGTAATTTATCCATGTTAAAAAAATTTAATAATAATAATAATAATTTGACTTACGGTAACGCGAATTTTCGATTTTAAATATCTTAATTCTTGTCTTAATGTTTCCGTCAATGCTGTGACTGCATATTTACTCGCTGCATAAATATTAAATTTTGGAATTTCCGTATTCGGTATTTGATGACCTGCAATGCTGTAAATAAATATATTGTTATGATCCCGTACTCAATATTCACATTTTCAACTTTTTATAAACAAAAGACTGGCGACGAACTCAAATTGTTCTTCTTTAGAAGCGAAGCTTCTAAAGACTCCTTCTTTTATTTTATTTGCAAGTGTTTGCTCGAACATTCGAAACAGTTGACTGACGAAAGACCAAAGTAATATAGGCAAGCTACACAGCTTGGCGTTGGTTCATTTTGATTTTTAGTCTAGCTGTAATAAGTTCTTGTTTATTAATATTAGTTTTGTTAGTGATAGTTTTAAGTGCTTGTTCATTACTTACAAAAATAAAGAACGAACCGAATATAACAATATATTTGACAAATATCAATAATAATAATAATAATAAATGTATATATAAATTTCTTTTTAAAAAAATTGAGTAGGAAAAAAATATGATGATGATGATTAGAATGAAAAGCTCTAATTAATATAAAAATATAAAAAAAAATTTCCGGAAAATTTTTTTTTTTTTTTTAATGACGACAAAGTTAATAATAATAATAATAATAATAATAAAAAGGAGAGAATGAAAAGATTTTAAAAAATAAAATTAGCTTATTATTAGCCTTCAATTATACATTAAAAAAAAATTTTTTTTTGTGTCGTCGTCATCGTCGTCGTCGTTTGTGAATTTTTAAAAGCGTTTTTTTTTTTAACTCTTAAAAGCCTTTGAATAATTTTTTTTTTACATTTTAATAATTTATTATTATTATTATTATTATTATTATTATTATTATTATTATTATTATTATTATTATTATTGTCATTTAAAACTCGAAAGAAAAAAAAATTTAATAATAATAACGGTATCGATTTCATTAATACGAATTTTTAAAAAAGAATTTTTTATAATTATTATTAAAAAAAAGGGGGGTTTGGTTAGGGGCGGAAAAGAGGAAAGGGGGAAAAGGGGGAAAGGGGAAGGGTGGGATAAGTTGAAAAATATTAAATTAAATTTTTTTTCGTACCTGTTTATGTTTATTATATGGCCATTATAAACTCCTGTTTCTTTCATTAATTTGTAAGCGTGTTGAGTGCAAATAGTTAAGCCTAAAACATTTACATCGAGAACTTCTTTAAAATGTTCTATTTTTCCATCTGGAAAAAATAAAAAATTGATTTTAATATCATTGATTTAATAAATTATTACAAAAAAGTAATAATAATAATAATGATAAATAATTCAATTGAAAATATCATACGAATATTATAACGTATAAAAAGTTTATAACAAAAAAAAAAAAAAAAATTTTTCTACCTATCAACATTTCTTGACGAGCGATTCCAGCATTGTTCACCAAAACGTGTATTGTTCCAAATTTATGTTTTATCCACTGGAAAGTTCGTGCTATTTCCTCTTGTTTCGTTATATCTCCCTTCCACGGAACAAGTTCTCCCTTTATTCTTCCAAGTTTTTCTTTTAATTCTTCAACTTTTTCAATTCTTCTCGCCAATCCAATTACTCTTAATCCTTTTTTGGCTAATTCTTCGGCAATGGCGGCTCCAATTCCGGCGCTTGCACCCGTAACGAGAGCAACTTTACCCATCCATCGATCCATTGTAAATATTTCGTAAAAATGTTTTTTTTATTTTTATTTTTAACTAACTCTATTGTTTAAAAACAAAAACAAAACAAGCAGCAATATAAATTTTATTGGGTGGCAGTTTAAAAAGAATAAAATAATAATAATAAAATTCATTATTTTAAACATAAATAATAATATTATTAATGATAATTTTTTTTTTTAAATGACTTTACGAACGAATGATTATTATATTATTAGGTGTGTTCAATATTTAAATATGGGCGTTATTATTATTATTATTATATTTTTTTTTTAAATATTTAAATTTTTACGGTTAAAATTCGAATAAAAAAAAAAATTTAACATTCAGGATCGGAGGGAATAAAATTTTTTTTTTATTTAAAAAAAAAAAACTTTTGATTATTGGGTGGTGGTGTTAAAAAAAAAAAGTTTTTTAACATTTTAAAGTTTATAAAAAATTCAGATAATTAAAAATAATAATAATAATAATTATTATTAATTCCCTAAATGCCTTTTCGTTCATAAATGAAAGAAAAGTTCGAAACAAAAAAAAAAAAAAAAAAGAAAGAAAAACTTTAATTAAACGGAGTTAATGAATTCAGGTAAAAAGTATAAAATACCTACCTGTAACAGTATAAGATAACTAAAAAAAAAAAAATTTTTTTTTTAATAAAAAAAAACCGTTATTATAATTCTTTTTTTTTTTATTTTTTACTTCGTTTTGTTTATTTTTATTTTATTTTTATAAAAACAATTTAAATTAAATAAATAAATTTTTTTTTTAAATAAAAAAATATAACGCAAATAAATCTCGTGTTGTTTGTGAAACTAAAAAAAAACAATTATTATTTTATTTAAATTAAATTAAATATTATTATTATTATTATTAATGCATTTAAAACGATTATTTGAGAAAAAGTGGAGGGAGGGAGGGTGGGAGGATAGAAAGGGGGAGGGCGGAAAAACCAAAAAAAAAAATTAAAACCTGATTTACGACAAATTTTTAAGTACCTATTCCCTATTTTTTTTAAATGATAAAAAATGATCATATTTAATTTTTCGTCAGGGCCGGATTGGTGATTTTATATTTTTCCATTGCTTTCAAATAAAATCATTTCCCACGATTCGTTATTAAACTGTGTGATAAATTTACGAACCGGAAATAACATAAAAATTATTTTTTTCCTTTTCCAAAATATAAAAACTTTACAAAATTTTAGTATTTAAAGAAAAAAGAAAATAAAAGTTTTGTAAAAAAATAAAAAATAAAAATTTAAATTCCTTTGAATAAACGTAAATGTGTAAACTTACTTTGATCTTTACCTTATATTATTTATATAATTTCTCTTTATAGAGATTAAATAATTTATTTTTTTTTTAATGTGGATAAATATATAAATACACCAAAATGAATGAAGGGGGAGGAGAAGGAAGTGGAGAGGGAGGAGGGAAAGAAAGGAAAGGGAAAGGAGGGAAAAAGAAAAATTCTTTTTATCTACATTTCTATATATAAAAACTTCTAATTATAAACATTTTAAAATTATTTTCAAAAAAAAATATTTTTATAAAATAATAATCATAATAATTATTATACATAATTAAAACTGTAGACGAAAAGGAAGTGACGTCATATTAAAATTATTTTACGAAAAAAATTAAAACGTTTTTATTAAGAGTACTACACCGGTGTTTTTCTACAATAAATGTAAATAAAATCGAATGAACATTATTTAATAAATGATTAATAATAATATTATTAATAATGATAATAATAATAATAATAATAATATTAATAATAATGATAATAATGATCGACATTCGATCGATTCGAGGGAAATGATTTAAAAAAAAAAAAAAATTTTATTTAATTACTTTTGGTACTCTTGTTTTTTTATATATATATAAAACAAAAGTTTTATTATTATTATTATTATTTAAATAACATTTATATAAAAAACTAAATAATAATAATAATAATAATAATAAGATCAATAAGTCAAGTGCCCCCTTAAATAAAAAAAAAAAAAAATAGGGAAAGCATAAATAATTTTTTTTTTTATTAGGAAGAGAGAGAGAGAGGGGGGGAGGGGGAGGAAAGAGAAGAAGAAAAAAGGGATGAAAGAAAGGAAGGAAAAGTTTTTTTTTGTTGAAATGTAAAATAAAAAATTTTAATTGCTTTATTAAAAAAAAAAAGAGGAAGAAAAGTTTCACGACAGGTTTTTTTTTCGTGAACGCAATTTTCAAGATGCACAAGAGGAAAAAAAAAAAAAATTTCTCTCTCTTCTCGCGTTTATTTTTTCTTCTTTTTTTCCAATTCTCGATTTTTCTTTTTTTTTCTTTTTCTTTTTATTTATCAACGCAAATTGCTTATTTAAAAAAAAAAAGCAGTAAAAAAAATTAGAAAATTTTATTTCTGAACAAATTGAATGTTCTCAAAAAAAGGGGAAATTTCAAAAACAGAAAAAAAAGTAAAATAATTTTGTATTTGAAAACTCAGACTATTGAATGAATTCGAACAGGGAACGAAAAATTTTTTTTTTTTTTTTTTCTTAAAATGAACAGCTTCTGCTAAACGAATTTTCCTTATTTTTTCTTCTTAAATTATTGACGTAAATTTGGTATGTGTTTCTAACAGATTTATCGACATCACGCTGTTTTTATTTTTTTCCTTTTTGACAAACATTTTATTTACTATTACAAAATATTTCACCTATAATTTATATGTTTTATTTGAACCGCCATTTTGTTTTTTTAAAACAAGCCATAATTACAAGAGCCTATCTTTACATAACGCAAAAAAAAAAATTTTAATTTTTTAATCTATATGTAAAATTTATTATTATTTTCAATTATTACTATTATTATTATTCATATTTACCATCATGCAAATTATTTGCAAATCAAAACGAGTAGTAATAATAATAATAATAAAAATAACTATTATTACAGAAACGTATAAAATTTTAATAATTACACAAACGCCTCCTTTTTATTATTATTTAATAAAAAAAAAAAAACAAATTTTAATTTTAACGAGAAAAACAATAATAATAATAATAATAATAAATTTTAATCGGCAACCCGTTGTTTTTATTATTATATAATTGATTTTTTAATTATTATTATTATTATTATTATTACTTAAAATCAAAAGGAAAAAAAAATGAATTTCGATGCTTACGTACAAAACTATAAAAATTTTAATTAATTTAAAAATTGAAAGAAAAACGTTATCGTCGTGATAACAATTTTCCATGATAAAAAATAAATAATCGGGGAGGAGGAGGAGGGGGAGAATAAGAGAATTTCCAGATTTTTTTTTTTTTTTTTTTTAAATAAATAAGTGAAAATGCCGAAACTTTTCTTTTCTTTTATTTTACGTATGTAACTCTTTTATCAATCCCTTATGAAATATTATCTGCTTATTGTTATCACTTTTCAAAGTTAATTTGATAAATATATATATTTTCCTTTTCTTTCTCTCTCAATAATAATAATAATAATAATAATAATAATAATAATAATAATAATTTTCACAATAACATAATAATAATAATATTTTTTAATAAAATTTATAAATTTTTACCCTTTTTCGCTTCCCCCTCTCACCAAAAAAAAAAAAAACCATTTAAATTATAATTCGTATGTGAAAAGGTAAAATAATGGGGAGGGAGGAGTAGGGAAAGGTTAGGGAAAGGTAAGGGAAAAAGTAAAACAAAACAATATGACGTTGTGTTTGTGTATTTTTTTTTTTTTTATTTTAAATTTTTTATTTTTTACCTAAAAAAAAAAAAAAAAATGTTTTTTTTTTTGCATTTCCTTCCATGTCATTTGCAGTCTACCGCTATATAGAACATTAAGCAAATAGGTTGAAGTTAAGATATATATATATATATATATATATATATATATATATAAATATATGGAATGAGAAAAATTTATTCTACCGTCTGAGCTTTCCAACCGTGGAAAAGCTTTTCAAATTTACGAGTTTTATAACCTTCCGATGAAGTCGGGTAGGTAACCTTATAACAAATAGGAAACGGTACAATTTTACCAGAAATTATATTTAATTTGTTTTTAAAAAAAATTATTATTAAAACCTGATGATACCTTTCTTCTCCTCTCTCTTTCTCTCTCTCTCTCTCTCTCTCTTTCTCAATCTTTTCTCTTTCTTTAAATGTCTCGTATATATATATTCCCTTTTTTTTATTTATAAAAATTACATTTAATCGTAATAACTAATTACTTTAAGTATAAATAAATAATATTTTTTTTAATAATCTATAAAATAATAATAATAATAATAAATTTTTACTATCGATTATAAAAATAAA